GCATCTAAACGCTTCACAAAATTATTACAAAATATCACTACCAGTGTCTGCCTGCATTCTTCTCTGCCATTAACAAAACAACCGATGTTGGAGATCTTGTTTATCTGTCCTCCACGCTGGCTCGGTGTTGCTGTGTCCATGACCTAAGGTCAGCAAATTGACAAAGCAACGAGGATTCTAACTTTTCACACCTCTTACATCGTAGGTATATAAACACATAGACAGTTTTACATTGTTTCTCATCAATGGTTCTAAAGTTTTGCGTTGTAAAAAGTAAACTTTCTCTTATACAAGGGTGGGGCTTCCTGTCAAAACAATAAAATGACCACTGGGGGATGTCCTGAACATCGTTTTTGGAATGTGTGTGTGTGTGAGTGTGTGTGTGAATGTCAACAAGCCTGTTCCCATTTATTCTATTACCTCCCCTGCTCTGGCGTCAGTTGCTTCTCATTGCTTGAGGATACGAGTGGCGTTGGTTTGGGCTCAAATCCTTTCACAAATTGGATATGTGTGTATGCGTCTGTGTGGTGTTCATATTTCGCTTGTATGGAATGGTGTTATTTCTTGATGTTAAGGTAGGAAGTGTGCTTTATTCACAGTGTACATAATCTGTGTGCTTTATTCATTTGTCATGTACTCAACCTGTCAACTGTTACTGCGTCATGTAATCTGTTAACTCTTTTACTACAACATGACTAACACAAGTTACATATGCCAATCGAAACATCTATCTGCATTATCTCAATGAACAGTACAAGTATATCATGAAATCAACTCTTTACAACATTTTAGGATTTTAGCAAAATGAATTTTGCGTACTGACGCGGTTTCTCTGATGTCCATAACTTAGACTACTGATGTGATTGTACTGCTAAACGCAGCTGCCAAAATCACGCCATTAATATAGCTTTTGCCAAGTGCCAATTGCACACCTTGGCAACTCTCTTCAACTCTCCTTACATCAGACCTCGAATATAACCGTGTCAACCTCCTCATCGTGGACGCACCTCTCTGCTTCCACTTTATTTTGATTAAACTCAAGGACAAACATCAAAAATAGCATATAATATCAAGCAAATGTAAGAATATAAAGTAGATATATGCATATTTATTCACAAAATATAGTTATATCTCACCAGGACGGTCACTCTACCGTCTGTATCTACCTCATCAGAACGGTCACTCTACCGCCTGTATCTCAAATAATAAAATCTTTGACCTAACAGCTCTAGGCCGGCAATTTTCGCCGTAACTCGCCTCTCTGCCGTCATTAGGTCCTTTAATCTTAATCCTCAGTGTCACTTCAGCTTAATCAGCTCTACTTAGTGACATCAAGTTCATTACACCACTTATATTTATTCTTCTTCTTAATCATCATCACAAACATCATATTAATTTCATGAATGCGATATATATACAAAGCGAATTGAAAGAAAAGCAAAAATCTTAAAATAAAATACACATTATTTCATTGTCGAGTCTCTAAACATCTGTCACCTCACTACTTGTGACAGTCCCTTAGTATAGTCATCAATGTTTAGACAAATCATAACATAAATGTGCATATATTTACAAAGCAAATCAAACATCGAAAAGTGAAAATCTTACTGAACAACATAGAATTATTCACTTCTGCCCATCACACTACTTTTTTTTTTTTTTTTAACTTATATTCTTTTGTCGTCGCGACAACACTTATCTTTTTCGACATCACAATCACAATAAAACGTAATACACACAAATGAAAAGCGAAAAATTACGCATTAACTCTTCTCGTGTCTGCAACATCAATTTTTCATGGCATGGCTTCTTACAACACACAAACAATTGTTCACATTACTATGGCATCATTATACAACATCTCTATCTATTATTATTGTTTGTTACACATTGCTAGGTTGTTTATTTATTTTTCATCTGCTTGCTTCTCTTAAAAGAAAATGATCAACTTCTATTTACATGTGCCCTGTCTGTATTATTTCTTTTTTTTTTACCCTGATAGTTGTCATGTAAGAATGCCCTATCACCGCTATCTGATATATTATATAATGTAAAAAAAATGTGTTTAACTCTATCTTCGCTACAATTACTTCCACAAAGCTCTTCGAAGACATTAACTCATACATTTTAGTCTAATAATTATCTGTATCACTTGACAATGTGTCTGCAAAATGCAATCTGTTTACTAATCATCTACTACCTTCTTTCTCAAGAATATACTTCATCAGAAGAAACTGTGTGCTGTGTATGCGTGTGCAAAAATGTATTCTTCATTTATTATTCTTTGTTCTATTTTCTGTAAACATCATCATCCTCGTTCACTAAATAAAAATATTTCATTTACTTCTTCTTCTTCTTCTTCTTCTTTTTCTTCTGCCTCTTCTTCTTCCTCTTCTTCTTTGAGTGCTTAGCCGAATATGGGTACCTGTTCACTGCGTCATTCAAGTATGACTGTTGTGATCATAACTTTCACTCCTAACAAATTAAATTGTCATATTCCTCCATTTTCTAGTGTACTACTATATTTAAAACAAATCTACATAACACTTTCTATTATGTTAAACAAATAAAAATAATAATCTGACCTTTTCTTATTTGCCGTAAGCATCTGGTAGTTTGTGCCTGTTCGTCTCTTTATTTTTTGGATTGTCAAATATTGCAGCTCTGTGAAAACGGAACTGTTCATTGTTCATGGATCTGTACTTATCTGTCTCTACGGGTTCTATGCAGTTGAGATTGTCATTCTAGTAGTATGATCGAGGTGTTGTGGTTGCGTTGGTATTCTAGTCGTTGACATATTCTTCTCTTCATGGCTGCTTCGCTGTGGTTGTTGATGGTCGTCTGGTTGAGTTGATCTGTTATTAGCTGTAGCATAGGATAGCGACTTCTTCTTTCTGGTCGTTGGGTTGTTCTTCTTGTCTTCGTTGTCCTGGATTTCACCAGTGTGTAGTTCGTTGAATGATATAAAAATGTCAGGTGTAAAAAATGTTTCTTACGCTTCTGCTGTATGTGCATAACGTCGTTCTGGGTTTTCTGGTATGTTGGACTTCTATAGCTTTGGTCTTCTGGAATTCTGCATTCTTGAACATTCATCGGCTGCATTTCTGGACTTCTGGAGCTTTAGTTGTCTGTACTCTAGGCTTAGAAATCGTTGGTTTTCTGCAACTCTGGAGCTTTGGACTTCTGTAAGGTTGGTCTTCTGAATTCTGGACTGCTACTCTTCTGGATGTCTTGAACTGTTGTCTTCTGGGATTGATGGCTTCTTGATGTTAATTATAAATGTCTATATTTGGTTCTCTATTTCTGCTGCTTGTGTCTTTGCTGCTAGACAGGTTGTCATTGTGATCGTATTCGTAGTTTTTGTTATGTTCGCTAAAACTTGAAAACTTCTTGGTAGTGGAAACTTGAAAACTCAGGCTCATTGTGTGAAACTAGTGTCTCGTAAGGTTTAGTGACTTCTCGTTGCCTTGTTTGACGTGTTTTACAAATTGTCCGGAGATGTCATTCTGCTAGATGATCGTAGTAAAACTTCTCGAGGCAACGAAATTGAGTTTCTTGAATGCGTAGAAGTGTCTTGAAAAATGCTTTTTGATCTCGGAATCCTGGTCACGGCACCAAAATCGGACCTCCTCCTTGTGTAGCACAGCTCTCTTCTTCGGTGCATATGTCGTTGTCACACCCAGGTTCGTCTTTAGGTTTGCTACAGGAGGAGTCGATTGGAAGATCATAGACGAGGAGAAAGATGGTCGTGTCGATAGTGGCGATGATGATGATGTCCTGCTTGCTACATGCTTGCATACAAAATGTTTGGAAACAACTGTTCTCGTCTGTAGTTTCTTTATTATGATACATCAGCAATGTCACAAAATAACAGCAATGACATTCTAAATAGAGCTGTCTGGTGCTAACGGATTGATCGTCGACTCTAACATCTCTATAGTTCCTACCTAATATGTCTCTGTTAACCATGGATCCATGTATATCTTGTGTGTCGTCTCTTTAGCTCGATGTCTCGTTTCATGTCTGCTCTCCAGTGACTGTCTTCTAGGTTCAATATGAACGGCTGCTCTGCTTCCAGTGTTGAGCTGGCATCAAGGATCATTTAGACTAGTCGCTCGTCCTCTGAGTCTCAACGACTGAAAGCTTCTAGTGTTGGGCTTACATCTCTACCACTGAAGACTGTCTTGGAGGCCCATGTGACTGGCCTCTCCTATTTCTCGAGTCTTGTGGACTGAAGAATCTTTTAAAGTGCTTTGTTGCTCGCTATTTATACTTGGATGCTGGAATGCTAGGTATTTGTTTTCTTTTCGCTTTGTCCGCTTCTAGAATATTCTAGTACGTCTAAACCTGTTTACTATGTACGTTCTCACATGGGATTTGCTAATTATATCTCGATTGCATCAGATTTCATCATCCTATTCTACGCAGATATAGTAGTTAAACTGACAATTGAGGGCATAGAAGCTTCTAGAAAAACAAGGACAATTGTGTTTGCTTTGATAGGCACGTCAACAAGGTATTCACTAGTACGACAAGGTTGGGTCACATGATAAAAAGAATGCATTTCAAAACTTCTAGAAAGAAGGCCAAGGCCAGACAACATCAGTTTGATGTCAATAGCTTGTTTTGGCGAGAAAAGAAGATTCTGGAAAAGGGAATGTCAAGGCTGCCAAAACTTGTTGATTTTCAGTTCACCATAACTCTGCGTAATAACCCACTTCCTACAAACAAGTAATGGCTTAACTGTGTTACAAGACGGTCATCAGTAAATAAAGACAGACACGTGGACAGTGGTCAGTAGATAAGCACTACATGAAGACAGTCATCAGTAAATTAAATGAGACACAGTCATTAGTAAATAAATACAGACATACAGATGGACATTACTAAACAAAAAGACATACATGCAGACGATCAATAGTTATTACAATGAGACGTGCAGAAAAGGTTACATTTCCTTTCATAAAAACATACATTTGCCGAAACTTTCAGTTACTCACCTGCAAGTAAGGCAGCCAAACTGGCCACCAGGACAGATAGGACGACTGTAGGCCCTGCCTCGTGCCTGGCAACGTGGGCGGACATAACGAATATGCCCAAGCCTGCACAACTGCCAATACCTGGGGAAGTGAGTACAAATAGTTGTGTTACGTCTTTCATATCCTTATGACATTTAATGCAAATTTACTGACATTTTTCATTTTATAAAATCAGACATCTTAGTCGAGGCTTCAAATTCGCTGCAGTCGGGTTTTACCATTCATGCTCAGTTCCCGTGCCAGTGAAAATCAAATGAAATGTCCCTTATTGTGTTATTTAAAACTTGTGAACAAACACTTACTTCGGGAACACCAAGATTATGCGCACACAGTAAATGCATATGGTAGCCAATAGTCGCTACCACAAATGCAGTGTGTCGTTGATGGAAGTAGTCGGTCACGATAAGGTGGTTATACACACGTAGAATTATTACATAATGTATTTAACCAGCTCACACGTAAAACCGCTAACGGCCATATTGAATAAAACGACACAACCGCTTCATAAGTGAAAGGAATTCCACATGAAAATCACAGCTCCCCATGGCTGCATCTAGCACTAAACTCAGTAGTTCAGTCAGCCAAACCGTAGATTACCGTCCATATGTGGTAACTGCATTAGCAATGAGCTGTAGGAAAGAAAAATATCTTTAAAGCTTAACATTCTGCCGTGCCTAATCCTCCATTTCAGACGTGAACATTACAGAATCAGTAAAAAATGAGGTATCGGGAATGAAGTTAGGACTGAACCGGTATTAAACTAAACCAAGATACAAGAATAGCCTGTCCCTTTGACATAACGAAAGCAAGACTAGAGGTCAACCTCGTTGACGATGGTTGGACGGAATATTTGAGTCTGTAAATACTAACTTCTGATTAGTTACCAAGCCTGATGCTTCTTGACAATCTGAAGCTGACAGACAGAAGAGTAAAAGAGAAGCAATAGCAGCAGCAGCGCCAGCAGAGGAAGCAGAAGAAGACAAAAGGCAGATGCGCGTGTGTGTGTGTGTATATATATTTGTGGGGGGGGGGGGATTTTCCATTACATGCAGAATATTGCAGGTTACACACCAGGCTGGTGTCGTGCGTTATGGCTGCCATAATGATCACCTCTTTGCAGTTTGAACAGGGTACCTGGGATCAGTCCTGTTGGTCTGCCGTCCAGACTGAGATTCTTTAATCTCGGGAGCGTATGGTAAACCTGTAGGTAGCAGCCCACAGGGAGAGGGAACAATGCGATCGATCGATTGATCGATCGACAGGAAAGAGGGAACGTAAGCCTGACTAATAAATTGCATAAGCTATGATTTTAATCGATACTCTACAAGAGTTAAACATCAAGAAGAACCGGCTCGTAAAAAGCATCCTGTCCTCAAAGTTAAAGTCAGGGTGGATTAGACAAGAAGGTGATGGATGGTGCAGTTTATTGAAAGCGAGGTGGGGGTGGGGGGGGGGGGGTTGGCCTTCGCGAAGATGAATACAGCATATTGAAGATAAACTGGCATTGAAAGCACATGTGGCCAGAGAGCTGGCTAGGGAAAGGGAGACTTTAAGGCGTGCTGTGAGGAGAGCGACATTCTGTAAAGAACTTGTTAATTGATGCTGATGATTTTTATGTTTGCTCCAGACAGGAAACATCTCAGTCGCTTATAGAGGTAGATCTCTAGCATGTAAGTCCCGCGCCGTTTTCCTCCTCCAGCTATTCCACGTATGTTTTTTAATCCAAAGAAACACATGATGTGTCATTGTCCCTCCTTGAACTCTAACTATCCCATAATGTTTTCTCTCACTTTTGAGCTTTGGTCCCATCTTATTATTTTCTCTACTCACTGAATGCCTAGCGGCATCAGGGTAGGAAAAGTTCTCTAAAAACGGGCCCTTTTGTTCGCTTCGAATAAAGTGCTTTTCATTGTCTCTTATAATTCTGCTGTCCATTTTCTGCGCAGTCGACCAGTCTTTTACTGTTGTATCTGTATAACATTGCTCTCTGTGGTGCCCTGTCGGAGGCCAATCTTGTTAAATGGCCAAACCATTTGATTTGTTGTCAACCCATAAAGTACAATATTGTTTCTGTCCCGACTCTCCTCCTGATAAGTCGATCTTTCCTCTTTACATCTAGCATAGTACGAAAACATTTGGCCTCTTACTCTATAGAAATTTGGCTACTTCAAATATATGTTTAGCTTTTTTTTTTTTTTTTGAATGCAAATGCGTAAAAATCATATGGGGCTGAAAGAGATAAGGCTTGGCCTTACGAAATATATGTATCGAGCTGCACTCTCTCTCTCTCTCTCTCTCCCTCTCTCTCTCTCTCTCTCTCTCTCTCTGTGTGTGTGTGTGTGTGTGTGTGTGAGAGAGAGAGAGAGAGAGAGAGAGTTTGTAGGTAAAGAATGAGAGAGAAAGAGAAACAAATTCACTTTCTCATTCTGCAGTAAACTATAAATTCAAAGAAGCATGAATATGTCTTCAAAGTGCCTGTCATGAACTGGTTATGGGTCAGTGATTTCCTTATCGTGAGCTGACAAGAAAAAGATAAAAAAGAAAAAGTAGGAGAAAATATGAAAAGTTATTGCCAAGCTGGAGTGCACAGATAATCTGAGAACCGCTGGATATGTTGACACTGATCTGAAAATTGTCTATTACCCGTATACATGCGTATTTCGACTCTATAATGTTGCATGTTGAATTTAGAATGGACATTCCGGTATGGGTTCTGGGGCCCTGTTATAGCAAAAACAAGAATAGACCCACTGCCTACCCAGAAGCATGTCGTAAGAGTCGACTAATTGGGAGCTTCCTTCGAAGTCGGAGTGCATCTGCATGAAAGGCAAGGAACCAGCAGTCTGTTTACAGATGAGTCAGATCTGTCAAACGGATGCACACGCAACACTCAGGTTCTGGAACAGGACTGCAGTCCAGAAGTGGATGAACAACCAGAACTTTGCGCAAGACTTTACAGCTGGTGAATGTGAAGAAGAAGAAGAAGAAGAATAAGAAGAAGAAGAAGAAGAAGAAGAAGAAGAAAAAGAAGAAGAAGAAGAAGAAGAAGAAGAAGAAGAAGACAAAGAAGAAGAATGGACATCACAGCATTCAAAATATTTGCATAAACATTCTGTCTCCATCTTCAGCGCAGACCACTTATTTATTTGGTACCAGAAACAGTTTGACTATATATCCGCCCCGCCTTTCCTTTAAGTGTATAGTGTCAGTCCGATTCCTTGGTCATCCCTTGAAGCACCATTCTAGTGAGACCGTGATGATCTTTTTTGTGTACCTTCCCGCTGATTCAGTCGTTCCCAACTGATCCTTTCAATATCCCTACAGAAATGCATCACTAAGTGGTGCAGTAGCAACTAGTTTATCTGCTTATTCTTGGTGAAACACATGGACATAACCAGGAGAAAATATCCAAAAGGAGGCTAACTACTCGATCTACCCCAGAGTCGTAGTGAACCGATCAACTATTACTATCACGGCATGGGATTAGGCCCGGTGCGATCAAGTCGATCCTCTCGACTCTACCTTTAACACTATCTAGTTTGATAATATGCTGAACACTAACTATAGCATTGCAGTTTCTTCAGAACAAATTAAATAGAACACATACTTTTTCTTCTGGTGTTCTAGCCCTAAATGGAGCATAGTCCCCCAGGCAACTCTTGCCAAGCCATTCTATCCTTCGCTTTTGCAGGCAGCTCTTCGAATGGCCTCTCTATCTATTTAACTTCACTCTCTAGTTCCCTTTCTCTTCGTGTGTGAGTGGTTTTGGGTGGGGGGGGGGGGTCTTCCTTTATTTATATGCCCCTGTGGGTTCCAGTGCAAAGACATTCTAGTTATATTGTACTCTGGTTTTCTCAACATATCCTTTTTAAAGCGTTTTTTTTCCCTTCACCTTTTGGTCCACTGGAACTTGTTTATTTCTCTTCCAAAGCTCTACACGATCGATTCTGTCATTCCATTTAATTCCGTCTATTCAGGCATCAGTTATGAATGTTTGTAATTTATTAGTAATTGCCTTCGTTTCTCATGTTTCCACTCCACACAACAGTACTGATTTGACATTAGAATTAAAAAATTGTAAGTTTAATCAAGTTTTAATTTCTTTTGACCTTCAAATAATCCCTAGTGCTATGAAATATCCTCTTGCATTTCGTATTCGCATTTTAATATCTCTATCAGTTTGCCCTACCTTTATCTGCATTACTGCCCAAATAGGCGTACGTATCCACGTTTTGGAGTGAGATACTATTAAGAGAAACCAAATAACAAATTGCTAAGTTATTCTCATTCTTTTTGTCTTTCTCTTTTGGATTTTCAAACCTAGCTGTTGTGATCTCGCATCAAGTATATTTAATTCTATTCTTGGTGTTAGCACGTGATGTCTTCATAATCCAGTCTATAGCCAGTAAAAATAGGAGAGGCGACAAAAGAAATCCCTGTCGCACACCTGTTTCTATTTCAAATGTATCTGTTGGCTTTCTTTTATGAAGAACTCGACATTTTATGTCTTTATATGTTTCCTTTACTAAGTTAATAATTTGCTATGGGATTCCATAGTGCCCCTTTAATTACTAGAGAGATTCCCTATCAATGCTGTCAAATTCGTTTACATAGTCAATGAATTTAATGTAAAGTGGTAAATTAAATTCAACGTTTTGCTCTAATATAATACGTAATGTGGCTATCCTGGATAGTACAGGGTCTGTTTGGTCGAAAACCTGCCTGGTCATCTTTTAGTTTTTTAACAGTAGCATCTTTTAGTCTTTCTAAAATAATCATACCTAATATTTTACCAGGAACTGACAGCAACATAATTTCTCTATGATTCTTACACTACTGTAGATCATCTTTTTTTCCCTAGGGATACATTCTCTAAGAAAAATACTCAGCGGAAGGAAATGACAAGACAGAAGTAGTGATAGGCGGTAATACAGGTATCATTTCGATTAAGCCTCCTTCTTTATTCTTTGTAAAAGATGGCGGCCAAAAGTGATTGGTTTCTCTAGGAGGCTGTTCTTTATCCTTAGTAAATATCGATCGGGTAAGCCTCCCTCTTTGTCCTTAGTAAATATCGATCGGGA